CTGCTCCAGGCTCAGGCGGGGAGAGACTCTTTCTTGTCGGAGCCAGGAAGAGGATCTGATCCCCGGAGATCACCACCACAAACGTGCGTAACTGAAACCTGCAGCCATGCTGAAACAGATACTATCGGACATGTACATTGATCCCGACCTTCTAGCAGAACTCAGTGAGGAGCAGAAGCAGATCCTCTTCTTCAAGATGAGGCAGGAACAAATCAGGCGGTGGGAGGAAAGAGAAGCTGCTGCAGACAAGGCTTCAGCAAAGAAGCCATTGCCTAGAAAAGGTAAGTCTCTGCCTGCCGGTTGCTTCTCCCTCTGGCACAGTGACCTGCTCCCTAGAAATAGGAGGTAATGTGTCCTTAGAGTAATTTCCTCTCCCAGGGACACATCATAGTCATATTTCCAAACTGTAACTAAACCCACCTGCAATGGGGTAGTTTTAGCCAGGCACGCAATGGTTTTACTCCCTGGCCAGACACTCTGTCCTTGACCAAATTGCTCAACTCCCCTAGCTGGGAAAGCAGGGCCTACTTGCCCCCAGGAGATGCATCTCATTAAATTTCCACTAAATGGGGCCTCTGAATCTGTCTATAAAATAACCATGGACTTGAACGTCTGTCCTGGGGCACCAGATCTGCAGGGGTGTTGCTGTTGTGCCTTTAGACCTGAAGTCCCCTTGCCAGGAATATACAGCATGCCGGCTGCTAGGAAGATAGCACTCTTCTCCCAGCTCTCCCCTGCACGCTCTGTTTGCAGATAGTTCTCCCTCGCGCAGTTTGGCAAGGGCAGTGGTAAGAAATTAAAGCAAGAAAGGAAGAATGCTCCCTTCACTGACCTGGCTTCAGTACTGTGAAACAAAATGGGAGGTGCGCGCTCTGCCCCAGACAAGCTTTCCCCACGTACAGCTGCAAAAGCAGGCTCTGCCTGGAGAGGCTCTGCCGTCGGCAGCAGCCAGGAGGGCACAGCAGGCAGGACACGGGCCCTGCACGGAGCTGCTGAGCAAACAGCATTTGCCACAGAGCTGCTTCTTTTTCAGCCAACGGGAAGACGGTGACATGGAAGCTCGGCGCTGACAATGATGTCTGGGTCTGGGTGATGGGCGAGCATCCTTCAGATAAATCCTATGCGGCCATCTGTGAAGAGATCCAGGCACAAAGGGCAAAACAGTTAGCGAGAGAGCAAGGCAAGGAGGGCAGGTAAGCACCCTTCAGCTGGAGGACTTGGTGGGCAGACACGGAGAAGAAGGCATTTCTAGGCACCCAGAGGCTGGAGTCTTCTCTGTAGGGGCTTTGGTTATCACTGTCACACTTGACTTGCAGGCAAAAAGTGCAGGCAAAGGTTGACTTTCTGTGAGTACACACAATGCTGGCAGAGACCAGCTCCAGCCTGAGGCTTGCCTCGGCTCATCGAACTTCCCGTGATACGGCTCCTGCGCGGTACCCTCTGTGAACCACAGGAAATGCTAACTCTGTTATTGCAGCAAGTGATGAGTTTGGATTGCACTGATTCACTGACAGGTGCCCGTGTACAGCAGGACGACAGTTACTCACCAGGAGTCATTAATTTAATTGTTCCACCTACCTGATTTGGAGATATGATAGCTGCCTGCACATACGTCGCTTCATCACAGCATTGCTCTGCTCACATGCAGCTTCCTCACAAGATGCTCAGAGAGTGGAAAGTGACTCCCTCAGGTTCCTAAGCCCTCTCTCTCTTGCATTTCAGAGAGACTGATTCTTCTGTAACACGGTCTCTACATCCACAACCAAGAGTCCTGGGTGAGACAGATCTTCACAGGAATAAAAAAAGCACTGTGGAAGAAAAGAAGGAAGATGGGAGAAAAACTGCTGCTGCTACAACAGGGAAAAGCCAGGAGCTCACAAAGGTAGTTTCCCCCCTTTTCTCCATAACCATCAGAAACATGTGCTTTGAGATGTAGGAAGTTGAAAATCCTGGTTGCTATAAATAGAAATTTGAAGAAAAGCCAGCTAACTGTTAAGGCTTCTCTTCTGTAGTGAGAGAAGAAGCTGTGTTATTACCTCCTTCCTTAGGACTCGGGAGGTCCAAGTGCTATTCTCAGTTGGGAGAGATCTGCTCTGTACCAAGAGATAAGTCACTCCGGATTCCTTTGCTTCCATTCTCCGTAGGTAAAACAAGGGTCACAGTACTTTCCCTCCTGCTCTGTGGCTGGTTTGGATGGCTTTTGGGGCAAGACCGGGGAGGCTATCCCAGGATCTGTACATGCAAGGCCACAGCCCTCAGACAAATCATCTACTTGTATAAAAGAACAGATGAAGATAGTTTTACCCACTGAAATGCATATTTTAGGAGGGCAGGGGGAAAAAAAGCATCCTCTGACATGCATATTTTAGGTTCTTCTTTTGTCTGTGTGTGTCTACTAAAATAGTTAGAAAATAGCTTATGACCTTAACAGCACAGAACAACTCCAAATGTAGTAAATACAATGTCTGCTTTGCTGTGATGTTTCATTACAGAAATATTTTTTCCAGCAATAAATACATTTCTACTTTTTAACTGGCTACAAAAAGCCATTTGCAGAGAACTGAGAAAAAGATGAGTTAAATTAACTACCCGTGCAACCAAAGTTGAATGGAAGGAACTGAACACCCTGCCAATTTAATGAGAGAAGTCCAATCTCATTCAGCAGAGTTTTCATTCAGCCTTTTGCTGCTAACTTGTATGAGTGTATATTCTTTTACTATACAGCCATTCCATACTTCAGTATAAAAAGCACAATAACTGAAGGTTGGGTTTTGGCAAAGCGCTTCTGCTGCTGCTACTAAAATATGGAAGGGAATTTGGAGTGGCTGTCTCCTTTATCAAAAGCCTCTGAGTCACACAGGGTTTTTCTTAGCACTATTTGCTAAAGTTGAGCAACTATGTGGGAGATTTTTTTTTTCTTTTGAAAGGAAGCTACTAGCCACAGCTAACAGAAAAAAAAAAAAAGGGCAACAAAAAAAACCCCAAACTAAAAATCCCACCACCACCAAAAAAAAAAAATCTAAACCACTTTCAAAGTCTTGCACGTGGAATAGAGGAGGGTTGTATATTTTACTTTTGTTTTCTGTCATTATGTTGTTAATCATCTTTGCCAGGTTTCTGGACCTTTTGCAATTAGAAGGAGGGATCCAGACCGAAGACCCCTGTTGCATTTTCTAGGCCTGGAGAAGCGCTTTTTTTCACCTCCCTCATTAAAATGCTTTCTCCAAGATCTAGTTCCCATTTAACCTCAGGGATCCAGGCTTTGTCTGCCACAGGGGACGGGCGGGCTGATTTAAGAAAACAAGCTGCTTCACACACATTTGAAGTTCCTAGTTTCCTGTCAAGGAGAGAGAAATTGGAAGGCCATGTTTATATTAAATATTAGCCAAGTAGGTGATGAAGATAAAACAAAGCATGTCCTTCGTAAGCAGCATAGTAGTTAACTCATTACTCGCTCTGCCGTGGGAGGCAGTCTGGGTCCAACGAGGAGGTGGGTGGGTGTTTGCTCAAAGACAAGTCTAACTGTTTGCCTTCAAAGGCAGGTCTCAGCTAGCGACTGCTGCCAGGGTGGCTAGACTGGTTTGCAGGGAAGAGCCAACACCAGACGTGCAGCTAGTTGGGTCAGTCTGATGAGCAGGGGTTTGCAGCACCCCAGCCACAGCAGCAAACAAGCACAGGCAGGTAAAGCTGTGGACGACGACAGGTTCTGCTAGGGCTTGCTTGAGAGGGAGCGGGGAAGGGACTGCTCCCGGGGAGCACTTGGGAGCATCACTTAGCAAATCTAGATGTGCTTATGACAATCTTGACATCCCTGAGTTCTCCTGTGACATATTAGGCCTAATACGATGAAAAAAGACGTTTGTCAGAGAAGGCTGGCAAAATTTGTTAACATAAATGTCACATCACTGCTTCTGCATTAAACACCTTTGCTCCAAAGAGCAGCAATGGTCCTAATGCTGCATTTATTTCTCACCGATCTTTTCCTCTGCCCAGAGGGAAACCAGAGATGTTCACCAGATGCTGGCAGACTGCCACATGAGGAAGCGTGGCTTCCAACAGGTAAGTAAGTGGCAACCTGGGATGGTCCTAACACATTGAGTGGGGCCCAGACTTGATTCTAGAGTCAGTCAGCCTCAGAGCCTCATCTGACCCAAGAACATCCTCACCTCTTGGATCAGTTTTATCCAGCGTTACCATGCTCCTCACGCACAGTGTGATGATTTGGAGATGATACAAAGCAGGCCAGGCTGGCAGACTGGGAAGCAGCACAGGGAGATGCTCCTGATGATTTCTGGTAGCCTGTTTTCCCTTACTTCCTCTGTTGTTGCTTGCAGTAAAGACAGGATCTGTATGTTGTTGAAATTGGAGGGATTCAGAATAAAGAATGGAGTTCCCAGTATTTCCAGGCTAGCTAAAAAGCAGGGTTAAAACTAGCCTGGGACAAAGCTGAACATACTGTTTCTTTCATAGACGAAGGAAGCACAGAGGAGAAATTCGGGAGAAGAGACCACAGCTGCCCAGAAGGTGATACCACAGAGCCACCCCAGCTCGGAGAGCCAGAGGATGCTGCAGAAATCAGATGAGAATGAGCCTGAATGGCAGGAATCCTGTAAGATCTTAGGATGACCTTTTCCTATGGGGCTTGAGAAATCCTAGGGCTCTCATCTCAATCCTTCTTCTGCCACACTGGAACTGAATAATTGGTCAGTGGGTGGAGAGTACTGCCAAGAAATGCAGCACTGCATTATCAGAAATATTTCTGAGTCCCCACAGCATTGAGACTAGAGCTGGGCAGGGAAATGGAAAATTGTTCCCACAAATACGATATTAAAACATGCAATAAATAGGAACCACATGAGTATAGCCAGGATAATTATTTTAAACTAGAAGCTGGCTGCCTGTAGGACTTTGCAGTAACCATTGCTCTTGAGGACAAGGATAATGGGTGAGAGGGACTAACTAAAAAGGGCTTCCCTGTCATCCAAGTACAATCCGACCTAAGCAGAGCCTTGCTGCACTGTCTCATGTAATGAATCCAAATGATAGGAAGGAAAATGGCAAACAGTATGAGACTTGCAGTAGCATCCATCACTGCTGCCAAATACTTCCTGAAGGAAAACCTGATGTGTTTTTTTGACCTGTTGGAGTGGGTCCAGAGGAGGGCCACAAAAATTACCAGAGGCCACAAAAATTACCTCTTCTGTGAGGACAGGCTGAGAGAGTTGGGATTGTTCAGCCTGGAGAAGAGAAGGCTCCGGGGAGACCTTATTGCAGCCTTCCAGTACTTAAAGGGGGCTCATAAGAAAGATGGGGACAGACTTTTCAGCAGGGCCTGTTGTGATAGGACGAGAGGTCATGGTTTTAAACTAAAAGAGGGTAGGTTTAGACTAGATACAAGGAAGACATTTTTCACGATGAAAGCAGTGAAACACTGGCACAGGTTGCCCAGAGAGGTGGTAGATGCCCCATCCCTGGAACCATTCAAGGTCAGGTTGGATGGGGCTCTGAGTAACCTGATTTGGTTGAAGATGTCCCTGCTCATTGCAGGGGGGTTGGACTAGATGGCCTTTAAAGGTCCCTTCCAACCCAAACTATGCTATGATTTTTTTTTTCCCCCCAGTTCTTCCCCTGCTGCTCAGTAGATGGCAATGCGCTACTACCAATTGTTTCCATGTCAGGCCAGGGGTTTTATTTTTCTTACTGATAAAAAAAAAAAAAAAAAAATCTGAAGTTGATTACAGAAGCAAGGAAAGAATTAACCTAACTCAGACCAACCAGAGAGCTGGTTACTCCTACAGACTCCAGGATGAGCTGGACCTAAACAAGGCAATTTTACAGCAAAAACAATACCCAGCCAAGTTCTGCACTTTCCCTGACAGTTTCAGCAAGACTCCCTTCCACCCTTAGAAAATGATCAGCACTTTCAAATCCTTCAAAGGATTGATTTGGAGTAATTTCAGCAGTTTTTATTCCATATGCCCTCCCCACCCCTGTGGCTCACATGGAAGGCATTACAGAAATCTATGTCTGAACCAGGAGTCAGCATGCAAAACAAAGCCAAGTAGTCTCTAAGTACAAAGGGACCTGGTGCCCAGAAAGAACCCAGATTTTTAATCTCTTGAAGGAATGAAAAATGGACCCTGTTAAGTTGCAGATGCCCAAAAGTGATGGGAGACATGTGGCAGATGGTGTCACAATTTGAGTGCATCTTTCACCTTGTGAAATGGGTTGTTCTTCCACTTCATCAAGCAGGAAGATGGCCAAAGGGCAGTAAGCTTAAAACTTCCCTGCTTGTTCACTTCTGTAGGAATCCTTTTTTGTTCCAGTGCGGAAATCCAAGGCAGCAGATGAAAAGAGACGCTCCCTTGCACGGCAAGCCAGGGATGACTACAGAAGGCTTTCACTGCAGGGCATCCACAGGGGGAAGCAGGCAGATATTTCCAAGGATGCCCCAGCAGGAGATCGGCGACCACTCCAATATCCGCCTCTCCCCCCCAAACCTAAACTTCTACCTCCTGCAATGGCAAACGGGAGAGTGATCAGGTAAGGAAAGCCCTGTGCACTGTGGAGGGGAGAAGGGATGAAATTATTCTTCTCTAGCATGGGGTGGTTGAGATGGGAACAGCTAGCTCTCCTCCTCACTTGGAGGAGACGCCCCGCAGGGAAAAATACAGAACCTAGGCTATATTCCAGCCTAGGGTATGATAAGGCTTATTTGTTCACCCCTGGAGAGTAACATTTATTTAGTAGAGTGTCCGAAGCCTAGAGTGCATACACCCTATGTGCTAGTTGTCCACTGAAAACCATATAATATTGCTGACAGCTACACTAGCGTAAGCCTTCTGTTTAGGGCTGTTCTTAACAAAAGGACTCAAAAGTTGTTGTTTGAAGCTCATGCACAAACCACAGCCTTTTCTAACAGGAAAGAGGGAATCCAGAGGACAATATCCAATTCCACTGAAGAAAGCATCATTAAGTGGTTTAAAGAGGAGCAATTCCCTCTCCGAGCTGGCTATCAGAAAACCACGGACACGATAGCACCTTGGTTCCATGGTGAGTCCTGAGTGTTTCTGCCCCAACCCAACTCTTTAAGGAGTTGTTTCTGCTAACATGGCTGCTGCCACAGTCTGGGTCCAGGAGCTTTTCAAAGGTGGCTAGGTTTTCCATTTTAAATATCTATGAATGTTGTTTAAATTCCTTTAGCATTATGACAAAGGTCAAGCTAAACTGTTAGAACAGATGCCAGATCTTCAAAATACCCTGTACCTCTGTGCCACCCCTGCCTCCCTGTACTGGATGCACGGTCATCCTGGCAATGGTTTGGACCACAGTGGGAGAGATTTGGGCACACCGCACCTTGGCCCCAGGTCATTCTCCCTCCATACGTGCTCATCATGCATAACCTTTCCATCCCATTTCTAATGGGTTATCATGATCCCATCCATCTCCCTTGCTTTGGAAACCCCTTCAATCCGAGACTGCAGCAACAAAAGTGTTATCCTTTTGTAACAGTCTTTCAACGCTTGCATGGCTTTCTGACAGGACCTATGATCACTGTCTGCACAGCCCTGCTACGCTGGAATCAACACGTAACACACTGCAATGCCGTTCTCTCTCGTAACACAGAAGCTGTCCTTTGAGCCCTGCACATCTGTCATTCATAATTGGCCATGTCTGGAACAGTTAACATAAAGCACAGTTAGCACGTGGCCATGATCTCTTACTAGCAATGGCAGTACTGTTCTTCCTGGGCTACTGGGCAAGAAAACAATGCAAGGGATGGAAGTGCCACGGACTGGTTTTAGAGTCATAGAACAGATTTGTGAGAACTGCTCCATCCTGTGATGCACAAATGCTTTTCCCCCTTCAGTTTTGTGTTTTGGTTTTGAACAGGTATCCTAACCTCTAAGAAAGCAGAGGAGCTTCTGGATAAAACAGTACCAGGGAGCTTTCTGGTCCGGGTCAGTGAGAAAATCAAAGGCTACGTGCTCTCCTATCGGTCTGTGGAAGGGTGTAAACACTTCCTCATTGATGCCTCAAGTGATTCCTACAGCTTCCTTGGAGTGGACCAGCTACAACATTCAATGCTGGCTGACCTTGTAGACTACCACAAGGTGAACATCTAGCAATGCATTTGTTAATTGTTTGTTTAATTGCCTCAGGGCAGTTCAAAATAAGAAATAATATATTCAGTTGTTTTAAAGCAGGTAACTAGACCCATTTTAGCTGCTATTGTGTATCCTGTGTGCTGCTCCGGAAGGGTATGCCAGCCTGATGGGTGTATCTCAGGCAATCTAACACGTCTCAAACACCTCAGACCTTACTCACTCCCCCTCAAGTGCGCAGAACACCTTGCACACAGGGCTCAAGTTACTCACGCACTATTTGGTAGGAATGCTGATAAGGTGAGAGGTGACAGCATAATCACACAGACTCCTTTTTTTTTTTTTTTTTGCATTCTCTCAGTGGTTGTGGGGTCCCAGCAAGTTGGGAAAGCAGAAAATCCTACTTGCCTTCAGCTTCAGCATGAAAGAGAACAAAGTATCTTTATAATCTCAAAGCAGGCAAGGTGCTATACTGAGCAAAGATAAAAAATAGAAGGGAAGGAAGAAGGTGGCAGGTTCTTGCAACTGTAACAGCAGCGTTTACTAGCACTGACTGCAGTTACATGGGCTCCAAGGAGGGCCAGATGCATTGTTCATCCCTTTGCTATAAGATCTGCTCAGGAACAGGACAATCATTTTGCCCAAAGGTTCATTTAAAATCCATGTTTCTTTCAAATAAGAGCCTCGCCTAATACAGACATGGCTAAACAAAATTGGACGTGAGGAAAATATCTATGTTCATTCACTACTTGGAGCTCTACCTGGGCTACCTGAACATGCGTCTTGCATGGGTTTCACAGTTCAGGCTGAAATTGTTGAAAGCAGGAGCTATACGGCTATTGGCACCAGAGCCAGAGGATTTAAAGCCTGGCTGTGCATATCTAAATTAAAGGTAGAGCCATGCCCACAGTCTGCAAAGAATCCTACAGACCCCCTGCACTACAGCAGACGTGGGCAGGGTGAACCCACTCTGCTGAAGTGCTCTAGTGGGTTCTGCTTATCACCCACTGGGTGACCACGAGAGAAAGCAAGTTCCCACCATGCATCTGCTGCTAGGGTGGAGAACAAGACAGGAAGCAGAGACTGTACTGTCAAGGAATTCCCTCAGAACAGGGTGTGCCTGAGCAGAGGGCATATTCTCACCCCGGGATCCACCCTCGTCCCTCACACAAACGCAGCCAGAAGCACAGTCCACAACCACCCAGTCCTGCTTACCTGCGTGCTGCACAGTCCTTGCTCCAGCACTGTCTGGGCAGGGCAGCATTTCACGCCATAGAAGCTGCAGTCATCTACGAGACTAGCACAGCTCTTTCTGAAAACTGCCAGAGTCATGTCACCAGGTTACTGCACCAAGCACAGACATTGTTTTATGAAGACAGAGGTCAGCCATGCAGGTCCTTCCCCGAGTTCCCCAGGGCACCGAGGTGTATCTCACGGCAGGATGAACAAGTCCACACCTGAACAGAGGCAAGGGAGACTCCACCCCATGATGTTGTGATACGTAGGGTCTGTTTGAAAGGTGATGTTTAATCGTATCCTATATTAACAGGACGAACCCATCACTTCCTTGGGGAAGGAGCTGTTGCTTTACCCGTGTGGCCAAGAGGACCAAGAACCAGATTACATCTCTCTCTTCGAGTGAACCTCCTAGTTTCACCGTGCAGCCCCATGCCTGTATTCACAAAGACTGAACTTCGAACTAGAGCTGCTGATGCTTACCTGAACCGGTTGCCATAAGTGCCTCTATTTTATATCCTTCACAACAAAGCAGTAGAAGGATAAGTACTGTTGTGGGCTTGTCGTATCAACTGAGTTAAAGGATGCATCAGCCCAGCAAGCTGCAAAGCACCTGGATGTATCCTGCACAGTGGAGTGAATGAGGTGATGAGTAATCGATTGAACAGGGAGATACTGCCATGTATTTTCAGTGGGTTTTTGCAGATTTCCTGGGGGACTTCTGTACTTGAGCTGCCTTTTGTTCTTGAATGCAAGGTTGTTTGCCACCTGGGAAATAGATTAGTATCTATAGTTGAATGAGATCATACCTTCCTGAAGGCACAAAACAACTTGGAGAGGTGAAGTGGTCTTGATAAAGTAATTTGCAATAATGTGAAGCTTAATCCTCTAAAATGCCGTGCTCTTTGAATCAAGTATGTTCAAGCCAAATGTTCAAGCAAACCCTCGGTGTCTTTCAGTGAAAGGTGTTCTCTGTGAAGCAGGATTTTTATGAGAAGTGCATTTTTTAAACTCCTTTAGCCTCTGAATATAGATCCTCACTCTTTTAACCTGTATTTAAATCCCACACTGGCCTTTCCACATAAAGAGGGATTATCACTTTGAAAGGGAAAGGAAAAAGGATACAGGAATTTGTATGAAAGGCTACCACATGCACAGAGTCTAAAAAATGTAAGAAGCAGCGCCTGTATCAGTATTAGTACAGTTTACAGAAAAGTGTTTGCCAGTAAAGAATGCTATTTTCCAAAATGGAGCTATTTATTGCAAAGTTGTGTCCAGATTACTGAGATGCATCTGGTGTAAACTTTAACATAGAACTTGTTCTTTCAACATAATGTTCACTTTTCATATATGTTACACTGCTTTTTAAATACATAATTCAGAATATTGGGGGAGAGGCTGCACAGAATCACATAACAAATCAATCCTCACCCAGATTCCCTCATGTTGTTGCACAAACTGTACAGCTGAGGGTTGTCGTGTGAATCTGCTAACATCATTGTTTAGAGATACAATCCTCAAATACTGAACAAGAGTCAATCTTGTTTCAGTTGTTTACCTGTCTCCTCCTTTCTGTTGGATCTGCTCGATTTGAGGAAGCAGTGAAAAACTTCTTAAATTGATCTGTGTTTTGCAGAATACAGATTAAAATATATCATTGTAATAATCTAATCTTAAAATTTACAACTATGCCGATAGGTGGTTTCCATACGAGGAAAGAGGGGATAACTGCGCTGCAGCTACAGCAGGTTTAACTTGCTAGAGATAAAGCCTTAATGTAAAGTGAGGTTCTGAAAGTAACAACACTCTGGCAGGGAAAATCACTTAAGGAGCTTCTTGAGCACTGTATCACATGTATCAAAGAGATATTTTCAACATAATCTGCATCAATCATGGGAGGGAGTGCTAGATTATTTGTAGGGGGGAAAAAATCTCTCCTTCCCTCTTCATGAACTGTTTCTTTTGAAACATATGGCCAAAATGAGAGGTCATTCAGAGATCCTAGAGAAAAGTTAGCATCTGTTCTCATGTGAAGAACATGCCAAAACTGTTGTCTGGCTGGAGACAAATCACAAAGTGTTTTGTATACCTATGGGCTGGTAAAGACAGGGGACAAATTCTCCCTTAAAAAGTTTAAGAGACATGGTGTTAACTTGCAGAAATAAGGTGCAGGCTGATCTGGCATGGACACAGCAGGACGTGATCAATTTTAGCTCTAAGATCTATAGTGGACCTCCTCAGGATTTGACCTGCTGACCAGTGGACCGCTAGCTTCACATACCTTTATAACTACTTATTTGCAAATGTTGGCACAGTGGAGCCCAGGGAAAGTCACTATCAGTGTTCACATCTATCCCACATGGTTGAGAATCATGCCTCAGTTTTTTAAAGACTCCCAGCTTCACTTGTCTGCTATGAAGGAAGACACCTGAAGTTTTATACCTATACATTTAGATTACTGCACTGACTGCAAAGGCAGCACCCTTACCAGAACAAATGCCTTCAAGAGTGGCTCTTCTATTGCTCTGAAATCTAGTTACCCTGAAAGTCTGTGGAGCACAGATGACTTGCATTGGTCAGGAATCAAGGGTGCTGGCTTGTCTTGGGGAGCTTTTCTATAGAATCTTTCTTCAAGGGATGCTGTGCAAGGATTACAAGAGTACTCACATTCGAAAATTGCTTGCTGGAGAGATCATGACACCTGGAAGGATATGGCAATCGGTTTTGCCCCGTGCCTCTATGCCTTTAGCCAGAGCATGCAACAGTCATCAAAAATTAAAGCAAGGAGTCCCCATATGGCCTCCCCATCTACACAGGGTGATCTCTATTCCCTCTCCAACTAAGATCCAGTCAGTCACCATTCTGAGAAAGATCATAAGCAGTTTCTGGGGCAAGGAAGGCAGAAAGCTGCCTGGCTATGGTTCTGTTGTCTGCTCTCTTTGGATTTCATCTTTTTCTAACTGGTCTGGAAGACGTGTTACAGCTCCACTTGGCTCACAGAAATGTAGCTAACAGCAGCTTCCCTTTCTCATGTTCTTCACTTCCCCTATCAGTGCAGTCTCCACCTTTAAGAGAGCCCTGCCAGACTTCTGCTGTGATTAGATTCTCCCGTGCAACACTGAGGTGGCCAACGACTGCAGGCTGACTTTCTCCATCATTGATTCAATCTCACCTCTTGCCAAACAGGCTTCTGCAGACAAGGAACAGGAACTGCATAGACAGTATTCTTCTCAGCGGGAAGAACAGCATCTCTGTGGAAAAGGACATGCAAGAGAATCACAAAGGTGCTATTTAAAAACTTTGACAGGGGCTGGATGATGTGCTTGCTAAGGTACCCAAAGTAACAAAGTATTGAATTTACAGGTGTTCAATGCTTAGAATTAGAGACTAATACGGGTTTGAAGGGACTTCTGGATATCATCTGATCTAGCCCTGGTCTACAAGTGTGACCAACCTCAAAGTTACATTAAGTTGCTGAGAGCTTAGGGAAACCTAAGGGAAGATAACAAAAAAACATCATGGAAATAGTTAAGAATAGGCTTGAGGAGGGTTATGATTATGAAACTTTTGTAATATACATCACCCAGTTTCAAATTCAGTTTAAGTGGGACTGTAGGATCAACTATCACCTTGGAGCAGTTCAGTTACCACAGCTCTCATATGCATTCAACAAGCCATGCCTGTCTCCTCCTACTGCATAATGACTTGTAAAGTTACTCCATCAAAACAAAGCCTTTTATAAACAATTTATCATGTATTCTGGGAACAAAAAAAGTTCTACTTGAGACCTAATTGAGTTATTGATGAAGTTTTTCTGGTAAGTGATATATCTGGGGATTGGGTTTTTTAAGCATACGGAGTTCCCATTCTTTTTCTACTTTTGCAGTGGTTTTGGACATTTTGTGATTTGCAAGGGAAGTCCAATGCAGATCATTTGAATCCAACAAAAGAGTAAAACATGTAAACATGTGTCAAGGGAAAAGGTACTTACAGTAGCATGGTCTCTGCAGATTCTGCATGCAGTGCTTTCAAAAGTGGTTCATAAGCGCTCTTCCTACTGCACAGTGGCATGACAAATAGCATTTTATTCATTGTTTGGTGCTATCTTGCATATTTTGCAGCTTTTACAAGCCAAAAACCGAATTAGAATCTGGTTTCAGGCTGTCTTGAATTAATCTGAAGCTATAAAACAAAGAGACCACTTGGAGAAACAGCATTTAGGTAAGCAAATGGGATTTCCAAGCCCTTGTTGGCTAGTATATATTAAGATGATAAACAGCAGTCAGCATTAAAAGAAAGTGTTTTATAAGGGCAGTAACTCATGCTTTCAACAGTTTTAGGCAATTGAAAAAAAAGCTATTAAGAAGGAGAGTAATTTTTAGGATGCACCTATAATTATCATAAGAGAATTTGCAGGGTCCAGTAATCCATCACAAAAATTTATTTTGTTAATTACAAAAAGCTTGCTATGCCCTGGGCAATATTCTATATTTGGTTTAGAAGGAATACTTTGGTATAAAGTCAGAAAAAGTTCATCAGTTTTGGTATCTGACATTCAGAGTTTAAATCCTCCTACTAAATCAGTACTGCAAGTTAATATGTATTTCCTTTTCTTCCGCATGGTAAAGCTTCGGCCTTCCAGCACCCAGGTTGTGTAGAAGAATCACTTCACTTGTCTGAACCCAGTTCCCATCCACAGGAAACACAGATCTGCAGATCATTTTCCAGGTGTTGGAAGGCTGCACTATTTCCTAGTAAGGCTGGAAGTAGAAAATTTGAAGTCTGAAAAAATAATTCCCAAGCAAAACCAACTTCATTTAAAAATAAATCTTGAGATACTTACAGTATTTTAAAGCAGAAATACACCATCTGATTCATGTGATACAGACATGGCTCATTGCTTTTTGTTCACTATCCACAGAAGAGAACAAACACTACCCTTCAGTGTTTTTGAAACATCACACTTGACCGGTAGGGCTTTCTCTTTCTGAATTTTAGAAAGCACTTTCCAAGATGCCTTTTGTCTCTGAATGAACTAGGAATACCCTGTTAGTGCACTGCTGCTGTCCCTCCACCCCAGCCCCTTAAGAGAAAAAGATTTTTGGTCACTCCAGCTTAACCATTGTTAACCATCAGATGTCCTTCTCAGAGCAGGAGCTCTGCACTTATTCAAAAATAGCCCTTTTTAGATATGTCAGGTTAGATTTACACAATAACTCATTATTATTGTCCCACCAAAGGATCAATCCTTTAAATAACTGTACACATCTTACAAACATTTCAACAGAAGAGCACATCATTTGTTACTGTGAATACCAGACTGGCATTTATGTAACGTTCGTTGTCTCTGTGACCTCAAATCTCATCAAGTGTTCAAGTCTCCCCCAGAAGCAAGTGCTGAACAGTCAGGCTAATGGAGCATTTAAAAGCCCTATTAAGAAAAAAACAGAAGGAGGGAACAGCACAGAGCATAAGCACTTTCCCCTCATCTTCTTTTGCTGCCATCCTGCTGGAATCTCCATCCTTTGAGTCTCATCCCATCTTCTCTTGTTAGCAACTCTTTTCCAAAACACCCTATAGGCCAATTCAGAGGCTTTTGCCTCCCTTTCTGGCTTCATGTCTTCTTACTGCTCAGTTTCTGTCTATGCAGGTGTGTCTCAATCTCTTGCTTGAAAACAAGCATCCCAAGCTGGCCATGAGAAGCCTCGTTCATGGCCTTGGACTGCATGCACATTTTGTACTGCTCTGGGGTCAGCTCGTCCAGACATTGCTTTTCATGCCACAGATGGAAGAGACCCCTGACAGGCGTTCGGATCACGATGAGGTTGCTGTGAAGGTATTTGCGGTACAGATGTACATCTTCACCACCCCAGCCTTTAATGTCCAGATCAAAGCCACCTGACACAAACAAAATCCAAAATAAAACTAGAAATACATACTAGCAAACTCCATGCTATGAATTGCACTACAGCTTTTTTTCTGCCCCCAGTCAGCCCTTTAAAACAGCCATACTTTCTGCCACCATCAAAGTGTCCAAATTTCTTAGCTTCAAATTTTTCGCTATCAGACAAAATTGCTTTATTTGTACTGAGCAGCGCTTATATTCTGGTAACCTCCATGGCACCTAGGGATGGTCTGAACATCTAACCAGAGCACTGATGCAAATTAGAGGCATAAACACACTGGCCAAGGAAAGGGAAACTGATCACAATTTTCTATGTTTCAGTAAAAAGGAAGACATATTGGAGTGCATTTTTCTTACCTATGTTGATAAAATCAGATCTGTACTGGCAAGTCATCCCAAAACCAAAGTCTCGCCAAAATCCAGTTTCTTTTTTAATAATCTGCATGGAGGGAAAGGAATGTTTATATGGGAGCAGAAATGCTTTCAGTGTGAGCAGCAGACAAGTCCCTGAATGTGGTCAGAAATAGGAGCAACTGCCTTTTTATTCTTCCCCACGTAAATCCATGTCTGATCTTGAACCAGTTTTTGTAGACACTCGTTGCATTTTTCTGCCCCCAAAAAACAGCCATGTCTTAGCTTGGATAAACCCCCTGATCCAGAACAACCAGGTTTCGCTCTACTCCTGCTGTTGCAGACCAAGTGGAGTAATATCACATCATCCTCTGGAGTTTGCTTCTTCACAGGCAAAACATCCTCCAAAACTGTTAGTTTCTGCAGGATTCAAATCCGATGTAAGAAATGTACTGGTAAACCAGGGAAGCCAGACTGCTGTAGAGCAGATGGTGGCATCTGGATTGTGGACCACAAGAGCTCTGGAAGAAAACAGTGGTTCTAATCTGATCACACAACTGACAGCTGCTTTTGATTACCTTAATTTTGACAATAATTAGGAAAGTGGTAAGAATAGTTTTCCAGAACTGCTAAACCCAGGTAAAATTAAAGTTCAGAAATGTTAGGTGGTAGATATATATCCCATAAAAGCCTTTGTAATAATGAATGCACATTCTACATTACGGAGATGGGCCATGAAAATATTACGTATAACAGGTAGAAAATCAGAGCAGTGATAAACCATGGCTGTCATTTTCAAAAGCAGATATCCAAGTATAGATCCCTCAGGTCATAATTCATATGCGTGAGTGATCTAACCCAATCTGATAAGACATCCAAGGGTTTCAAGGGACTGGGACAGGTATTTAAATCCTCTAGGCAAGTCAGAAGTACTTCACACTCTGGCTACAAACCTATCCCTTAGCAGCTATTTTTGAAAATTTTTGCTTCACTTGTGGAAAAGTTACAGAAGATGAGGAGACAAAAGTTCCATTTCTGGATTTACAAATCCCAGCGTTTCCTTTACCAAAAAATCCTCTTCCAAAATAATCTCTCCTGATTTCTCATTCATGCCTCCCCTTTTTGTTCATAACCTTTGTCACTTTAATGGCTTTTTTTTTTTAATTTTACTGCTCGCGTTGCTATCTCTTTCTTTTCTCATTTCTCCTCTCCTTGAAAAAGCCAAGCCACTGCAGAAGCCAATTAAAAGGAAACAAGATTGTATCTGTCAGGTCTGTAACAAGAAATCTCCATAACGATGCCCTTACAGCAAGCTACTCGTATGCATTAGCATTATCAGTTCCCATTAGTGCAAGTGGCTGCTGCACAAATCAAATTATTTCAAAGATTTCTGAAGGCTTTTTTTTAATCAGCAGCCTGAGTACCAGGACAGATAGCTAACACTGCCTTGTTTTAGTGGCACAGATCTGGCCTCATGCCTGGGAACTAATGTGGGCTGAAAATATAAAAATCTACATAAAAATGAGATTGGCAGTACTACTTTAAATCAAGAAACTTTTCTGACATATGCATCACATTTTATAATTCAAATATTAGCTATAAATATTTGCACAATCCTGACAATGTCTTTTGTGGAATTTATGCTAGCTTGAGAGCTAAAATCTATTTCATTTCCTAAGCACACTGCTTACAAGCCTGAGGATCCCTGGTGGGCTCTCATCAGAGAGAGAAAAGCTAACGTGAATTCCCATGGTATAATCAGAACAAGTTTCGTCTAAAAAAAAAAAACAGTGGAAAGGATTTTCCAGACTCTTCAGTAAAAGACTTTCTGGTTCCCTCTTGGATAACACAGGGAACAGACAAAAAATTTTTTAAAATATTTTGGGTGGACTTTTCAAATTCTCATTCTTCATTTTTCTAGAGGGATCACACGAGGTGAGGATAGTGATGACAGAAGACTGGACTCAGACTCCTAGGGATCTTTTTCAGCTGTGACTGTTGCTGGGCTCAAAATACCCCTAATTCTTACTTACTGAGAACAACCATAGAAGTTGGGATGCTCTGGAGACAGTGTCCAGCCTTGGGACAGGATGAGCCCTGATAGGTGCCTGGCAGTAAGAGGGGCAGCTGTGGCAGGCTGGGACCTGACCCAGAGGAAATGAATGAAGCTGCATAGCTGGCTTACACTTTAATTTTAAAATTCAGCCACTTACCAGCGCTAGTGGGCAGAGGACTGTGACATGCTGACTTTGGAGAGAAGCAAGAGTGGAGGGTGTACATAAAGGGTAAGCCACCACTTCTATCACCCCTTTAGCTTCAAGACAATGCAATGCCAGAGCACAAGAGAATGGAGAATAGCATCTGCAGCAATGCCACGCAATGGCTCTGCTGCTAGCATTCATGTGAACTTCTTGTCTGTGTGCTCAGCTTCTTCCTCACAACAGCTTCCTTCTCATCAAGGAGATTCACCTGGGTTTAACTACATGTTTTAATCCTATGCCTTATGACAATGCTTTTAAAATAATGCTTTGTTCTCACACTGAAGATAAGCAAGTGAGATGAAAATCAGTGGAGTTATGCTGTGTTGTATCAGTGACAGATTAAAGCCAGAAGGGACAGCTCCAAGCATGTCATTTGACTCTGAGACAAAGTGGTACACTTCAGAAACACACTGTCTGCTCGCAGGCAGTTTATTCACAAACAGTGGCACGGGAAAAGCCACCGGAGGTGTTCAAGTAAGTGGGGGAATAACTATGACAGCCCCCCTGGAATTCTGTTTTCACTGACTCATCTAAGGATATCTATGCTTTTTACAAATGTCAGCTCTTCAAGATGCAAGCAAAGAAACTATTGAGTGCAAGGAAGAAATGAGAGGAAGATCAGGGACTGTCATCCTGAGACAGTACACCATAGAGGAACTGGTGGTGGGGAATCAGGTTGGACGGGGCTCTGAGCAACATTATCTAGTTGAAGATGTCCCTGCTCATTGCAGGGGGGTCAGACTAGATGACCTTTAAAGGTCCCTTCCAACCCAAACTAGTCTATGATTCTAATTGCTCACCAATTAGAAATTCCATTCTGGCAGAGAAGCAGACATGGTTTAAATTCTTAAGTTACATGTATAAAACATCAAACAAGGGTTAAAATAAATGGTACAAGATACTTGCCTGTGAAACTTAACTGCAGAACTCACAGTATGGTGACTGCTGTCATCAGTTTTGTCTGTGTGGTAGTCACTGTGCACAAGGAATAGGGAAATGCTACCCAAGAGCACATGCACTTTTAAAAAATGCTTTGTCCAAATAAAAGCAGGCATTCATGTATGTCGTGGTTTAGACAGCTTCCTGTGCACCCCCAGTCTTCCTGCTAGCAAGACAGCATGAGAAGCTGGACTGTCCTTGACTACTTAGCAACAACGCAAAACATCAGCACGTTATCAACATTTTCTCATCCCAAATCCAAAACACAGCCTCACACTAGCTTCTGTGAAGAAAACCAGCTCTATCCGTGCTGAAACCAGGACAATGTACTTACCAGCTGCTGTTCTAAAGATGGAATGGAATCATGGTGGCCATAAATTATACTGGGGTTATACTGGCTGAAGAGAACAGGATAAAACACCTTCTTCCCTGGAAATGACAATGAGTTATTTTTTTAAAAAGCTGTATAAAGCACAGTTTTCTCTCTTACAAGATGCTGTCCAGGCCAGACTAAATCCAGACAAAGTCACACAAGTTTTGGACTGAGTCTATGTTCTTTGCATGAAAATGTGACTGTGAGGATATAATTAACAAAAAGATCCTGTTCAAGAAAGCACAGGTGCTGAAGGCAAGAAATTCAATCACAGTGGGAGCAGGAGTGTTATAACCTTTCAAAAGCCAACCAGCAATGGAATTTTTATACATGTCTTAATTAGTTCTCCAAGTTTCAAGAATGATTTACAGCAGTTTCATTACCAATTCCAAGGCAAGAATAGTCTGGTGAATGCTGTTACACAATAGGTAAAAATCTGTTGAAAAACAATACACTTCATGAGTAGCAGTACCTGGCTGTGTGTTCAATCTACAGGAGTTCAGGAATTCAGCTGTGAAGTATATGTCCACATCGCAAAAAAAGAGAACAACATTGTTTCCTTTCCAAAATCGAGCACCAACGTCTAATCCTTTGCCCCTGGAAAATTCTTCATTCAACTGGATGAAGGTGAAGTTCTTGAAGTTGGCTGACCTAGGAGAAGGAAAATATTCAGCAGCTTACCCTGCCCTTCCAGATCTTAGTACAAGTTGGGGCGGGAACCCATATTGTAACCAAGATGATGGGGAAATCAAACGATAATTAGAAAA